AATTCCCCAATTAGTCCCCATATGTTCATAATTGGTATTATACAGCAGAATTTCTGTTATAACTATTCCTGACCTTGTAGTGTAAATGCAGTGGGAACATTCCTCTGAGGAAGTGAAAACTACATCCATTCTACAGAAGAAGCTCTGAGCCGATACCTTTTCAATGGGACAGTTTCTGCTCAAGGCCCAGATCCCAGAGAAGGTTTATCCTAGGTGCATCGAGACTGAAACATGCAATAGTGAGATTACTGACAACGCCAGTGTTCACTGTAGTGTAAGTTACACAGTGACAGAATTTGTCTGCACAAGTGTGGCAGAGGATCACTAGAGTCAGTAAGAGTGGAAGTCGCAGATGAAATGGACATAGAAACATCTTAGAAGATTGTGAATCCGTAGCAAAACGCTGAACAAAATAAGATCACCTAACCTGACTTTTTTAAATGAATTGAACAATAGAAGCACAGAAAGAATAAATTATATACGTGACTGATCCTCTGCTGCACTTCCACAGACAAATTCCATCACTGTGTAACTTTCCTGTTTCTGGGGTCTGCACTGTAGCCCAAGTTGCATGTGTTAGGCAGAGAAATATATTTCCCTGTTGTGTTGTGGGAGGGCACTGGTATCTCTGGTTTCTTTTAGTGGACCACATAAGGTAGTAGGATGGTCCCTGTAATATTTTTCCCATGACAGCCTTGTGAATGAGGCAATTGGGGATGGACTTTGATTGGATGCTTGGCATGTATCCAAGTACAGATGAATTGACTCTGTTTGACTGGGGAGGACTTTCGTCTCTGTAAATCACCTGTTAGCTCCTGTTTCCTTTATTTGTGCATAGACTTCAAACCAGGTCTCATAGGGTGAGGACTTGGGGTCATAACAGATATAAGATTGGTTATTTTCTGGTCACAGCCTGAGTAGGTTGTTTGTTTGAGTGCAAATTCCCCAATTAGTCCCCATATGTTCATAATTGGTATTATACAGCAGAATTTCTGTTATAACTATTCCTGACCTTGTAGTGTAAATGCAGTGGGAACATTCCTCTGAGGAAGTGAAAACTACATCCATTCTACAGAAGAAGCTCTGAGCCGATACCTTTTCAATGGGACAGTTTCTGCTCAAGGCCCAGATCCCAGAGAAGGTTTATCCTAGGTGCATCGAGACTGAAACATGCAATAGTGAGGTTACTGACAACGCCAGTGTTCACTGTAGTGTAAGTTACACAGTGACAGAATTTGTCTGCACAAGTGTGGCAGAGGATCACTAGAGTCAGTAAGAGTGGAAGTCGCAGATGAAATGGACATAGAAACATCTTAGAAGATTGTGAATCCGTAGCAAAACGCTGAACAAAATAAGATCACCTAACCTGACTTTTTTAAATGAATTGAACAATAGAAGCACAGAAAGAATAAATTATATACGTGACTGATCCTCTGCTGCACTTCCACAGACAAATTCCATCACTGTGTAACTTTCCTGTTTTTTTCAGGTGGGGGATATACTGGGGTTTGTCATTGCTTCTTGATCAGATTTTAAGTTATCTTTGTTGTGGGGGGTAATGAGGACTGAATGAGGATTTTTTATATTGAGCTACATGCCCAGCCCTTCACCCTTTGCCATAGGGTTTGACTAAGTCACTAAATTGTCCAGGCTGGTCTGGAATGTGTGACCCTCTTGCCTCAGAGTGATAGAATTAGAGATATGAGCTGCCAAGCAAAGTTTAAATTATCTCTATTACATAAGAAACTCCTTTGTGCTTAAAGTGTATGAGGTGTGTTCACTTTCTCTCCCTAAAAACAACCAAAATCGAGTGGCACTGTCACATGTCATCGCACATTACACTGTATACCTTAGCTTATCGCAATTTCTTTTTCTTCACTATGTAGCCCAGGCTGGTTTCCCACTTGGAGACATCCTCCTGCCTCAGCCTCCCAAGTGCTGGGATAACAGGTGTGTACCCAAATGCTCAGCTTCTGTCTCTGTCTCTCTTTCTTCTCTTCTTTGTACTGGAGATGGAATCCAAGACCTCTGCACTGAGCCACACACCTTCCCATTTTCTAATTTTAAATTTTGACACAGGACCTGGCTAAACATGGTAAATTGGGTTGAACCTTGGCAATGACTCTGGCTTGGCATTACAGGAGCGCATCACCATGCCTAGATTTATATCTTGAATTTTATCCCAAGTAAATGTTCCTGATGTATTTTATCCATACCATACAATCAATGACTACGTTCATAGTGACATCTACAGTCTTGTAAGTGAATTGCCCGTAAGCCTTACTTTTATTTAGTTAGTTAGAATAGAGTCTCACTTTGTAGTTCAAGTTGGCTTTGGACTCACTATTAGGGTAGGGTGTTCCTTCTGTCTCAGCCTCCCGAGTGCTGGGATTATAGGCATGTGTCACCGTTGCTCCTTCATTTCAAATATTAATTCTCTTTGTGATGGTTACATTTGGGGTTAATTTTGAGGCAGGGCATTGCTATTTAGCCTAAACTGGCCTTGAACTCTCAATCCTCCTGCCTCACCCTCACAAGTGTTATAATTACAGGCATGTACCAACATGCCTGGCTTAAGTATTGATTCTTCAGCAAGGTTTTACTAAACAGGCATTGAAGTTTTCCCTCCTCCCACCCATGTTGCTGTATTTCTATTTGGCTTCAGATTACTTAACCCTGTTCTGCCGACCCTCCCTGCAGCCTGTTTCCAATCCTCACTCAGGAGTCTCCTCTTAGCAACACCTAGAGCAGGGCTTACCCTCTGTGCACAGCTGCTTTAATTAAATTACATCGAAGGCATTAAATGACAGTTTGTTAAATGCATATAAATTGAACAGGGCTGTGCGGAGTGTAAGAGTCACAGTCCCGTCAGTAATGTCCCCTTACACCCTCTTGACTCCTCCAGCCCAGAATCTGTGCCCGAGTGCACCCCACTCCCACCTGCTGGCTGCTAGCGGACACCATTCCACATGCTGCCAAGATTACCATAAATCATACACAGAAGAGTACGGCTCTGTCAAAGACAGGATTCAAGGAAGGTTGTTTTACTGTGTCTAGTTAGTAATGGATCAGGTGGGATCTGGGCCCTAAGGACCACAGCTAGTGGTCCTCTAGTGTTTCCAGCTCCTGCTGAAGCAGAGAAATGCTCATATTCTCAGCAGTAACAATGTAGGAGGATCACTGTGGAAATCCTCTAGGGGAAAAGTTAAGCGTTGATCTGAATGAAGCAGAGCCACAAGGGGATCCTGGAGCCCTGGGAGTGAGCAGAGAATTCCTGGAATAATCTGCCTCATTAACAGTGAAGACCCAAAGGAGGTGGTGATGCTTTGAATGTGTCACTGTCAAAAGCAAGACTCTTTGCTTTTGATGGGACCACGGTCCTCCACACGTGCTAGGAAAATGTTTACCACTGAGCGAGAGGCCCAGCCTTGAGTGAGTTTTTTGGTTTTTGGAAGTGGGTTTATTATATTTAAATATAGATACTGAGAGAATGTAAGGATGAACAGGGACACTATATTTTCCGAAGAGTGCGTACTATTTTGTAATCCTAAAAGGGTTACCACAATGATTAACATGCAGTACACAAAAATAAAAAATTGGGGGAATGGACCTGCAAATTCCGGTTTTGCCTCTCATCAGCTGTCATATGCTGGGGACATTAGTGTTATGGATCATCTGAGCACGTTTTCTCACTTGGCACACTGCGGTGATAGATTCTTCCCAACGAAGAAGAAATGTAAGCACATGTAAGGACCTCCACATTCAGTTAGGGTTCTACCTTTCCTCCTGCAGCTCAGTAATCTGAGGCCCACGCGTACTACAAGGCTGTGTTGATGTATAGGTTGGCAGTGGCTGAGGACACCAGCGACGACCTCCCCCAGCTCGGTGCTGAGAAGCCGAACTGGGCCGGACTCCTCTGCCTTCTTTTCACGGTCACCTGCACGGTTCAGGTGACAGTGTCTCCAGCCTGTCTTGGGATGCAAGGGTGCTTTCCTTCCACAGCCTCCATAATTACGGTGTGTGTGTCGGGAAGAGGGGTTGTAGAACAGAGAGGTCGGGATTGGCGTCTGGGAACCTCCGCAGCGTTTGGAATCCTGCTAGGAGTTGCTGTGGGTGGGCGGGGCTGGCGGCGCCCGGAGACGGAGGAAAGGTGGGCGGTCCGCACACCAGAGTTGGAAGCCTGTGGCGCCCACAGCTCTAGAAGGGCTCAGCCAAGAGCAGTAGGAAGGGGCTGATCTTAAATGCGCTCCCCGCGCCAGGAGAGGCCAGACCACGCTCAGGAAGCCGGGAAGGAGAGGCCTGGGCAGCGGATCCTGCTTTGTTTGCCCCTTCAGCTCTTCCTGCCTCCATTTCTCGCCACCCACCCTGATGCTGAGTGCAGCCGAGTTTGCCTCCCACAGAGGCCCACAGGAGCCTCGGCAGACACGCGCTTAAGTAGCCCAGCGGAGCGACGAGCTCCTGGCCTGTGGACGCGGTGAGCGCGCTCCCCCGGCCCTCTGCCGGTTGCAGCCCGGGTTTTGTGGCCGCCAGGCGCCACCTAGCGGGCGGCGAGCACCTGAGCGCGGGGAGCCGGGCGAGGACCCGGGTTCAGAGGTGCCTGGATCTGTCTCGCTCTGTAGGGGCGGCTGCGGCCGAAAGGAAGCTGGGCGGGAGCTTGAAGCAATCGTCTGTCCTCCGCCGTCTCCTTCATTCCTTTTAAGTGATCGTGTTTCTCGGGGCGCCGTCCTGGGCGTTTTCTGTACCCCGGCCCGGAGCTAAGAACGCGTTCCCCGCGCGGTCCAACTGCGCAGCAGACGGAGATCCTCGCGAGGGCGCCCTGGCCGTGCGAGCGAAGCGAACGCTCCTCGGAGAGCTGGAGGCAAAGGCAGGCTCGCGAGGGAGCCGGGGAGCCTCGCACTCCAGGCCCGCAGCAGGGTGTAACCAGGCGCTCTCGCACTTCCCCCGGTGAGGTTTTAGGGGCGCGCCCCGCTGTGGCGAGCGTCAGAAAGGCTGGGGATTTCAGCGGGGTGTCCGGAAACGGACGCGGGCAAGAGCGGGGAGCGGAGGGAAGTCCTGCTGGGGTGCAAGGGAGGGGACGGTTGGCCTGGGGCTGGGACAGCTCAGTCCCGCCTGAGAAGCCGCCCTGGGCCTCCCGCTCCGCTTTCTCGGTCTTCCTGCTGGCGGCCGGCCCTGCTGGTGTTTGCCCACCCAGGTCGCCCACCGGAGAGCGCTCCCTTCCCAGAGGCCACAGAGGTGAGGCTGGTGACCTGGGTGACAGGTGACGGGGCAGCGCTCCGCGACGTTCTTTCTACCGCGCTGCGACAGTATTGGTTTTCCTCGTCTTAGAGTCAAAAGGAACTCATACAGGCGCCGTGTATATCTGCGAGTACACAAATACATACCGAGGACTTTGCACGGGGTCGATCCTCATCTTTAAATGTTTTTTTCCTTCACAGTTTCTTTAAATTTGGGAATTTCTCCCCAAGTCGATAGATTGCCCAGGCTGGGCTCCAACTTTTAATCTCCTGCCTTAGCCTTCCAGACTGCTGGGATTATTATGGACATGGGCCACCGCCCCAGCTTCTGTTCATTTCCCCCTCCTTCCTCTCTCCCTCCTTCCCTGCGTTCCCTTTTCCACCTCTTCTTTCTTGCCTGCCCGCCTCCCTTCCTGCAGTACCCGGGCCCTTGTGCTTGCCAGGCAGTCACAGCACCCGTGAGTCCTATCCGTATCCCGTGACTGTGTTTTTCTAGTTGTATTTAATCTTCGCATGATGAACATAGTCTCTGGGAATTAAACGACAGTTGTCATTTAGTAAGAAATGTTTGTCCAAAAGTTTTATTTGAAAATTTCTTGTTTTTAGCCAGGTGTGGAGGTGCACAAGTGTAATCCCACCACTCTGGGAGGCTGAGGCAGTACCTACCAGAAACAAAACAGAACGAAACAAAAATTGTTCAGCTATTGTTTATTTTTCTTGGCTTTCAATGTGTTTGAAATAGGTATTAAAGAAACTTTTAATAAATAAAACTTGACAGAGTTGAGATCTTTTTCTCTTAAGGAACTTTAAATATATAAAATATATATTTCATCATATTTCATGTGTGTCCTTGTTCTTTCTTCTTTTTTTTGTACCAGTGCCACTGAATCCCCAGCCCTGTTTTTCCTTTGTTATACACATATGTGATACATTTTCTCCAACTGTGGTGTCAATTTTTTTTAACTTCAGAGAAAGCCGTTTTATCTCTTGTACTTTTACAGTGGCTTTCTAGCGGTGAATGTTCTCTGATCTGCCACAGGAGGTCACCACAGTGAAGGTGAGTGAGTAACTGAGTGATGCCAGTTTACCTTATTTCTCCCATCTTAACAGGTGTAGTTGACTTTCAGTGTTGTCAGATTTACTGAGATTTTCCACTGACATCTACTTCATGGCATCTGCTTCCTGCATTTTGTCTAAGAAAGTTTGTCTTTGGTGTCACTGGGATTGTGTAAGGGCTGGGGACGAAGCCCAGCGGTACAGTGCTTGGCCCACATGTGCAGTGTCCTGTATTTTATCCCCAGAACATATTCTGCATATTGTGGTAGCTTTGATATTTAAACTGTCGTTAGTTATTTCTCTGGTTTGCACTATATTGTAAGGGCTGGGGACGAAGCCCAGCGGTACAGTGCTTGGCCCACATGTGCAGTGTCCTGTATTTTATCCCCAGAACATATTCTGCATATTGTGGTAGCTTTGATATTTAAACTGTCGTTAGTTATTTCTCTGTGGTTTGCACTTATGTTGGGCATAATGTCATTTTCAAAAAAATATCTTCATAGAGAAATGGAATTATTCCAGCACCGTTTTTGCTACTTGATATGAAATATATACTTCTGGGCTGCTGGTTAACTGTCTCTCCCAAAGGACTTGAGTGCGGAGGCTGAGAAAAGTGGATGAACACGAGGTGGCAGCATTTGCTGCTTGCCAAAGGCTCAGGTGCCATTTAACACCTCAAGGTTCACCCTCACACCTGTCTCCCTGAACTAAAGGGCAAGGGCACCCTTCCTTGCTGTCTCATTGCCAGCATCTAGCAAAACACCTGGGGCTCTGATTCTGTGCAGGGTTTGCTGAAGAACAGAACAGGGCAGAAGGCAGGGCTCCAGGAGACTCTGCAACCCGACAGCTCATCCGGCCACCGTGGGTAGAGAGAGCCCTGGGCCTTCGCCCCCTCTGCCTGTCCAGCCCTGGTCAGTGTGCTTCTTAATTCTGAGCCCCAGGCCTGTCTGTTCTTCCTGACTCAGCTCAAAGCTTGGCTGGCTGTCTTGAGGCTTGACCTGACCTTGGAGATCCCAATTCCTGCTTCACCTGATCTGACAAGTTGTCCAAATGTTGTTTATGATAAACAGCATTGGTTCTGGCTAATAGGAAAAGTCAGGTCCCTCCTTACTTCAGTAGAAATCTATTTTGTGCAAATAGTTTCTCCCGTTTAGTAGTATATTATCACATTTCTTTTCTTTTTTTTTTTTTCCTCCAGCACTGAGGATTGGACTAAGGGCCTTTCCACTGACCTGTGTCCCAGCGGTTTAAATTTTTTCCTAGGTGTCAGATGACCTCCATTTGCTGTGAACAACAGGCATTCTTGGAAGGAGCCTGGTGGAAATCCAGATGCGGTCATGTATTCCTTTGGTCCCATCAACAAATGGTGCCGCATCTCTCCTCTACTTTCTGGCCTACATACCTAAAAGGTGCCAGGCCCTTCCCCCAAAATACAGGAAAAGATACAGGCACTTCAGGAGGTAGAAGGCGAGTGGAGAGCTTAGGGAGGTTTGTGTCTTGTGCCTCCCTCCTTGTTCTGTTTTTCTCCATGGAAAGTGAATAATGGTACTTTTATTTTATTTTATTTTTTTGGTGCTGGGGATCAAACTCTGACCCTTGTGCAGCGGAACCACCACTGTGCTAAATCCCTGGCCCTGTGCCTTTAACTCTTTTAGGAAGATACCTAAAGGAGCTATAGCTGGTTCAAATAGAATTTCTAAGGGCCAGGAATTTAGCTCAGTGGTTCTACTACTTGCCTTGAAAGCGCAAAGTCCTGAGTTTGATCCCTGGTACAAAAAAATAAATGGAATTTCTGTTTTTAGTTTTTTTGTTTTGTTTTGTTTTTTTGAGACAGGGTCTCACTACATAGTTGAGACTGACCTGGAACTCACTATGTAGCCTAGTCTGGTCTCGAACTCACAGTGATCCTCCTGCTTCAGCCTCCCAAGTGCTGGGATTACAGGTGTGCACCACCATGCCAGGCCCTATTTTTAATCTTTTGAAGAAACTCCTTACTGATTTTTATTGTGGTTGCAGTAGTTTATATTCTCACTAATGTAGAAATGTCCCTTTCTCCCCCGTACCTTGCCAGAATTTGTTTTTTGAGTCTTTGAAAATAACTATCATTATTGTACAACCATTAAAAAAATGAAAAGCCCTATAGGCCTTAAATATTAACCTTTAAAAGAAAAAATGAATACTTATGCCATGGCTGCCAGAGAGGGAGGGAAAGAGTTGGGGAGGGGCAATTAGGAGGAGGAGGAAGAGGAGAGAGGGAGAGAGAGCGTGCTGGGGACAAGGATACATTTTTTTCTAAGTTACACCTGCCAGTGACATACCCCTTCAAGCGGGCCCTGCCTCCTAACAACACACTGAGTCATGAACCCATCAGTAAATTAATCCACAGATTAATAAAGCTCCCCCATGAGATGTAATCTCCTTTCAAAGCCCTACCTCTGAGCTCATGTGACTTTGGGGGACATATTAGATATAAGCCATAGCAGTCCCTTTTTCATCCTAAATTAATTTTGACTATTTAGAATTTCATATACATAGAATCACACAATATGCATTACTTTGTATAATGCTTAATTCATCATAATGCATTAATGCCTTGTTTTACTACTGGGGATTGAATTTTGGGCCTTGCACATGCTTGGCAAGCACTTTACCACTAACTTACTTGCACCTTACTTATTTATTTTTTGTTTTTTTGAGACAGGGTTACATTATGTAGTTCAGGCTGGCCTTGAACTCACTATGTAGACAAGTCTGGCCTTGAAATTGTGGTGATCCTCCTGCCTCAGCCTCCTGAGTGGTGGGATTACAGACATGTGCCACAAAGCCTAGTTGACCCCTTTTTAGTTTGAGACAGAATCTTGCTAAGTTACTAAGTTGCCCAGACTGGCCTCAAACTTCCGGTTCTCCTCATTCACCCTCCCTAATAGCTGGAATTATAGGTGTTCACCACCACACTCAATGTGTTCCTACTTTTTAAAAAGTCACAGGGGTTGTCATGTAGAGGTACAAGATCCCAACAATGAATGTAACTGTACTGTACTGTATCCCTAAAATGTACCAATAAACTCAATTAAAGTTGAAAAAAAAATCACAGGGGCTAGATTATGCAGTAAAATATTGAACAGAAGTAGTTAGAGTGGTCATACTTGTTTTTTTGCCTTAGGGGAGAGCATTTAATATTTCACTATTAGGTGTGATGTTAGCAGCATAATGTTACAATGAAGAGGCGATGTTGCACTCAGAACACATAGCACTGGAACACTGGAAGACAAGTAGCAGATAGTATTGAAGTAGTTAGAAGTGTGATGAGGAGGACATTTCTGCATAACAAAACATTTTGGCATTTAACAATCACTGAAAATAGGTAAAGCTATGATGATGACAAATATTTATATATATACATATATATATATGTATATATATATATACATATATATATATGTATATATATACATATCAATGTGTTTGATGTGTGTATCTATACCTTTCTGTGTTAGTGTAAAGTGTTTATATATTAGCCTACACACACACACACACACACACACACACATATATAGTAAAGTCATATAAGCACATACTAACACACACCAGATTTTATATATACAGAGACATACAAATATCTCCTTAGGATGATACCAGAAAAAAGGAACCCATTCTTTCTCATTATTGTTTCTTTAAATCTAATTAAAGTTTTCTTCCATCTACTTTCAGTAAAATCTCTAGTCCTTTTATTAAGACAATTAACCCATCCTTGGGATAGTATTAATTTACAGTAAAAAGACCAATTAATCAAATTTAGGAACTTCATTTAAAATGAAAGCCCTATATCATCAGGTTGGGGAATTAAATGAATAAATGGTGAAAGGTTTATGACAGCACCTGCTACAAGGTACCTATGCCCTAACTAGTAAACTGTTGTAGCTCCCTTGAGAGGCCCTAATG